AACATCACGATATCTCACCGTCACGGAGGTAAAGGTGGGTAGAAAACACAAAAAGACCAATGGAGCATAATTTACAATAAACTCGTTTATTAACATGAAAACCTTTACCATCCACTTACCTCGGTGGAATTTATGAAAACAATATAAGAAAAATAATAACATTATCATAATCATGGGATAATATAAGCTGTAAAACATAACACTTATCACGCCTCTTGTAATTCAATCATTGTACAACATATCCTTTTTATTTATGATAAAACTTTTACCAGCCTACTAGTATCCGTGGGGGTCCATAGGGGTTCCGCTACCCGTTAACCTTTAACATTCATAATCAGTTTCCAGGGCCGTCCCCATACCCCGTCCGGTATGGGCGCCAAAACCATGAACCTCAATACCCCGTCCGGTATGAGGGTGAAACGGGCCGTCCCCATACCCCGTCCGGTATGGGCGCCAAAACCATGAACCTCAATACCCCGTCCGGTATGAGGGTGAAACGGGCCGTCCCCATACCCCGTCCGGTATGGGCGCCAAAACCCTGAACCTCAATACCCCGTCCGGTATGAGGGTGAAACGGGCCGTCCCCATACCCCGTCCGGTATGGGCGCCAAAACCATAAGATCTCCATACCCCGTCCGGCATGTGAGACCACAATCCCGGTAGGGTTCCCTACGGACCCGGTCCGTCCACCATCTCCCAGGATATCTAGTCAGGCTAACCCCATAATCCAATTATCAGTCTACACAATCTTTCATTTTCCTTTTCCTCAATAAGCATCATCAATTCACATTTAAGAAAGCAAATCGTAATTCATGCCAAACAGACAACATACAGTATCAGTTCTTCAGTCTTTCAACCCATAAATAAATAAAACAGTAATATATGCACTCGAAACTATAAAATGAACACATCAAGCCTCATAATGCATTTAATGCTGTAAAACAGGCCAAATAACAGTAAATCATAAATCACACTGGACTCGGGCTCCATTAGCAACCTTAAGCAATTTCACACATGCGTTAATTCAAGAAATACCGTTTTATCATTTTGAACTTTAATACCGTGATAGGAAATAAGGTGAGGGGTCCTTACTTGTTTTCGGGATCCGAATACGATTCACAGTGCGCCTGCAGGCTGTCCCTAATTTTCCCTGAATTTTTCCCAGGAAACTGAAACACACTAACAGTACCTGCACGTGTTCCAAAAAAAATCCAAATTAGGCCCAGGGCCTCCTTCGGCCCAAATCGCAACTCCGGCACGGCGGCTCCGCCGTGCTCCGGCGACGGCGCCGCCGCTGGCGGCGGCGAGTCGCCTCGGGTTGGCTGTTTTCGGCCGTTTTCGGCCACGCTCGCATTGGTCCTTGTCAGAAAACAACCCTAGGGCCCTCGGGGGGCCAAAAAATCACGGAAAAACGGAGCTTACCGGCGGTGGCGCTCTCGGGTGCAGCGGCTCTCCGGCGAGGTTCGTGTTTTGGTGATTCGGCTCCGGTCAACCTGTAGAGAAAAGAATGGTGATCACGGTGATATAAAAATTGCATCGAACGGAGGCCGGGAAGGGCCTCGTCGGAGGCAAAAACCGAGAGGGGGCGCGGCGGCGCCGCTGGGCTTCGGCCGCGTATTCCGGCCGTTTGGCCGGGATTTCGGCTTCGATTTGGCCATAGGAGGAATCAGTGGGGAAAAACGAGTCGGGGGTATGAAATTTACCTCGATCGGCGGTCGAAAATTTCCCCGGTGCGGCGGCGAGTGGCGGCGGGTGGCGGCGGTCGGCCTCTGGTTCGTCTTCTCCGACGAGCGGCTGGCGGCTAGGGTTTGTGGTCTGGTGTGGGGGTTCTATTTATAACCCCTTGCCTTTTGATCACAGCCGTTCATTTTGTTTTAATCTGGGCCGTTCGTTTTTGATTGAATCTGGGCCGTCCGTGCGATTGAATCTGGGCCGTCCGATCGCGTGATTGATCTGGGCCGTCGGATCGCACCCACGCAGATCGCCAACGTGGCTCCTTTTGGAGTGACGCGGTCTTGCCACGTGGCAGGCCCTGGTTGGCCGGGTGCTGACCGGGCTTGCTGACGTGGCTGCTGACGTGGCCTTCCCTTTTTTTTTTTTTTTTTTTTTTTTCCCTCCTTTCCGGGTGCTACAATAGAAAAAAGAATGAGATAACAATAGAAAAAAGAATTATTATTATTTTTTCGACACTCTCCTTTATGCTCACCTTTTACTCAGAGGGAGTAGAAAAATATTCTCGTATTTTGTCCCACCCGACAGCCAATCTATAAATTTTATTAAATGAAATAACTCTTTCACAAATTAGATTCAAAATTTATAACTTCAACGTTTTATTGATAACGATATTATTAATCGGTCATGCCACATGAAATGAAAGATGATATTTTCTCATAGTAGCTGCCTAGTTTTAATATGAAAATGAAACGTCATAAAATGGTGGACGTAAATGAAAAACTCAGCTGCTGGTAAACTACGTATACATATATCCTTATTGTCCATAACCCAAAATATGTATATATATAAACCCAAGTACAATTCAATATTATTTTATATCTTTAATATGTAAACCACAAATTTTCAGAATAGGAAAAATTGATTTTGGCAATCCGTCCTTTTATGACATTAGATGCTTAATCAACATTTTGTGGGTTTTGCTAAGAAACTCATATACGCATGGCACTCGCAAACTACACACACACACATATATATATGTAAGTAAGTATTTTAATTTTCCTTAATGAAGTGAAACTTACTGCGCATTGATTTATTTATAGGTGAAAAGATTGCATCCGACGCTGTATCGTATAAATGATGATATCTCTGGTTTGGAAATAATTGCTTCGTTAGTTTACCTCTATAATTAGTATATGATGGTAAATACAACTTGATTCTGCATCACCCACCTCCTTTACGTAATTAAATGCCTACCCAATTTATACCAAGTTTCATTCTTTTAATTCTTGGTAAAAACTTCGGGGTAATATTGTGTACAAGTGAATTAATTTAATTTAAATGAAAATTAATGTAATTATGTTTTCATTTTTTTATATTTAACATGTAAATGGTAACCATTATAAAATTCTTGTTTCACGTGTCTTTTTTTTTTTTTTTTTTTTTTTAAGTTATCGTATTTTTTTAGTTTAATATTTTAATTAAAAAAATCTAATTATACTAAAAGATAATAAATTCGTTTGATTTTATCAACATAATTTCATTGACGTATCAGCAAATTAAATTATTAGTTCTAATAAAGTAAACATTATAAATTAGTCATCACTGACAGTTCATAATATACTCATTAAATAATAAATTTATAATATTTAAGTAGAATGTAAAAGTTTTAACTATCGATATCGTATAATAGATATAAAGTCTATTTTATTATTTTTTAAATTTTCTTCTAGATTTAATTTATCATTTTTTCAAATTTATAATTCAGCATATTTACTAATTATTTACAATACATATGAAGCTTATAAGTCAAACACACACATATATATATGTTTGTGTTTGACTTAGTTATGTCTTCATTTTACCACTGTAATTTTTTTTTTTTTTGGTTTTAAGAAACACAATGTTTTTCTGCGTATATTGTATTGTACTTATATCCTTACTGTATTTTTGTAATTTATCATATTAGTTCAAAACCATAATTTTAATTTCTTGTCCTTTCTCATGTAGAGTCTTTCTTTGTTTTTTTTTTTTTTTTTGTTATTCTGTATTTTTGATATCACATAACTATCAGCTAATACATATTAAAATATTATTTAATGCTAATTACGAACTTAGACTTAATTAGCAAATATTTTTTATTTTTTTTATATAGCTCGGGGCTCATTTGTAATTATACCAAAACCTTGAATTTGTTTGCCTTACTACATCTTAATCAAACATATTATTTAATTATTTTCTAAGAACTTATAAAATCTTATATATTTTTAATTCTATCAAATAGTGGAGTAACAATTTTATTTGCCAGTAAATTTATTTATGCTTTTGTAAAATTTGCTTTCCTTTTCGAAATTGGTACTAATTTGCATGTTATACGATGTGCAAAATGTGGTCATACATTGGTACGGTTGACAAGAATTTACTTAATTTATTATTGGAGTTGTATAAATAAATATTTACTATTTGGTGGAATATTAGGTTAAAATAATTAAATGGGTAAAATTTAGGATAGGGATTATAAATAAATTGCTTCCCAAATCTCTTATTAATTTTGGGGTGGATGATTTTTTCTATTGAATTAGAAAATAATTTAATCTGAATATAGAAAAAATTGTGGCAAAACTATCATAATGTTGAGGTCTATTTCTATAACTTAAAATTAAGTGTGTAATTGTGAAATAATTAATATAAAATGATATTATAAATTTAAGTTGATTTCATATTTAATTTATTTTATTTTTAGGTATTTTATGATACTTTTATTGATAGGTGTAAATATAAATTTATAATTATAAACTTAAAATTACAATAAAACTCGATTTAATTATGATTTTTACATATTAAATAATTTTAATAAGTAATATATTTATTAAAAAAATACTAAATATACTCACATCAGTCATTTTTTTTTTCCTAATAAAGTGATTTATAATACGAATATAAATTAAAGTAATTACAGTAAGATTCTAAAATTATAATATACAATCTGGAAAAATAATTAATTACTGAATTGAAGATAAAATTTTGTAACCGTAAAAATTTTTAATTAAAATTTCATGCACAAATATCTAGCCGTCAAACGCGCTGTCCGTTCTTTTCGCCTCACAGCGCGTGTAAACCCTTTTTTTTTTTTTTTAATTTACCGAGCCTCTGATCCTCTCTTTACCGCCATAATTACAAGACGACGAGAATACAACCTTAGAAAAGATAACTGATTGAAACTCCACACTACACACTCTCAGAGGATAACAAAACTGAAAAACGCCCACGTATACATATATTATATGTGTCTATATATGTATATGTGTATAAGTATATGTGTAAATGTATCTGCCATCAGTCGAAGTAAATTCAAAAACCACCTCCCAACAAGATTATATGTATATGTATACGAGTAAAAACCACCTCTCGACATAAATGTTATAGCAGACTCGTCAACAACCATGCCACCTGCATCTTCGTCTTCTCCTTCCTCCTCCAAATCTCTCCCTCATCCCGCCCACCAATCTCCCCGTTTCACCCCAGTGAGTATAATTTCTATTCTCTCAACCATTTATAATCTCTCTGCTTGTGCATTTTTCATTTTTTTTAATGAAAAAATAAGGTTTAATTTGATTAATTTCTAGTGGGTTATTGGTTAATTTGAATCTAGATTCAAGAATGTGAAAGAGAAGGAGATGGTTGCAGTGAAGAATGGAGTAAAAGCAGAACAACCCCCGGGAGTTTGGATATGGGAGTGACTCCAACGCACCGTTTAACCCCTCTCCACGAGAAAAAAGGTAAACCCAACAGCAAGAAACGCCATGAATCCTGCGACGACAATAGTTTTGTCGACGGCGGCTCTGTGTCTTGCAACAAGTGCAGACCGAACTCTCATCGCGACAAAATCTCTGTTGTCCCTCTTGACAACGGCGCTGTCGGCAAAACCTCCTTCATTTCTAGCCCCAACGGCATCTTCCGCTCCATCTTCCATTCTTTAACAAGGAGAAGCCCTAAAGCGACAAACGAATTAGCACCCAGAGAGGAGCAATGGAAGATTGCCGTTGCTGAGCTTTCCCAGAAGCTTATTCAGGCGACAAGAAAGAGAGACGAGGCTTTGCTGGAAGCTTCAAGGCTAAAATACTCCATGGCCGAACTTGAGAAGAAGCTTAACAAGCTTGAAATTTATTGTCATAGTCTCAAGTCTGGACTCGAGGAATGTAGCAGTAACTCTCCCTATAGATCATACGGGATGAAAGTCCAAAACGGTGCGTTTAACGAAAAGGTGATCGAAGTATTCTTGGTTTGCGTATCAGAAGCTAGATCCTCAATAAGGATGTTAAGCAAGTCATTAACTATGCAGTTAAGAAACTTGGGTGGGAAAGTGTTTGAGAGAATATCTCTTCTTCTTCAACCTTATGATGTGAAGATTTCTTTCACGAAGCACCCAAAAAGCTTACTTTTGTATCTGGAGGCTCTGTTGAATAAAGCTTTTTTTGAAGATTTTGAGTCAATCGGGTTCCAAAAGAATTCCGCAAACCAGATACTGAATCCCGTGGAACGCTGTGAAGGAAACTATGCATCGTTCTTGGAGTTGCAGGGGCTGACATGGGAGGAGGTTTTGAATAAGGGGACAAGGCATTTTAGCGAGGAGTTCAGTAAGTTTTGCGATAGGAAAATGAGTGAGATTGTGAACATGTTGGGATGGAACAGAGCTTGGCCCGAGCCATTGTTACAAGCATTTTTTGGTGCTTCAAAAAGTGTCTGGTTGGTTCACCTTTTGGCTAACTCCCTGCACCCTGGCCTGTCAATATTCAGGGTAGATAAGGGGGTGAGATTTGATTCAGTTTACATGGAGGATATGGGCGGAGACAGAGCCAGAAAGCTGGTCCCAACCGTGGTTCGGATCATGGTGGCACCTGGGTTCTACGTCTATGGCAACCTGGTCAAGTGCAAGGTGCTTTGCAGCTACTACAGCAACAGCAGCAGGGACAACACCATTGACGACCAGGGTTAATTAATTTATTCCCATTAATTAATAGTTTCCTATGCAATTACATGTGAATTTTTAATTAATTACGATTATGAATTGGGGTTTGGTTTGAAGATTCTGGGTCAAAGTTGCCATTTTTGTTACTTCTCTTTTGTTATTTTATCAAGGTTTCTTTTGTTGGCATTACTAGATTCTGAGTTGTCTGCAAACTTGATGGAAATGGATCAAAGGGTCCAAACTCATAACAAAAAGCGAGGTGGATAGACCCATGTGGAACCTTGGATGGTATATTCATGTTGTGAATGAATTTTGGATTTTCTCTCATTCATTCATATTATTATACACACACACACACACACACACACACACATATATATAATTAATTTATCCTTGCCATAAAAGTTCTTTCTTCTCTCTTAACTTGCTGACTGTTGTACATTTGGGAGTCAACTCACAATCTTATAATTAACCTGAGAAATTATCGCCAATCATATCCACCATAGCCTCTCTTTCTTTAACCCATTAATCAAGGCTATATATAGTTTTTTAATTATGCAAAACATTGCGGTTGTCTTAATTACTTCGGTTTAAATTTTGTCATTTTGTTATATCCACCTCGGGTGAAGATTTCTGCTTTTTGGATTAAGTTTAATTGGATTTTTCTTGTTGGACTTATCTCTTTAAATTAGAGATAATTAAGTCTGACACATAATTTAAAATTTTAATTAAAATTTATCTTTTATGTTTATTTCACATTAAAATAGGAAAACTACTAAAGTTCAATTATATTTGAAGATTCGTTACTTAATTTTATGTGTTTCTTCAATATGTATTATAAATTTTTGAAGAGAACACTACTCTTAATCCATATATGCATTTAAGCATGTAGCGTATATTTAACTTTATTTGATTTTTTTTTCTTTCATTCACTTAAGCATTGAAGTTGGCATAATTCCAACCTCTTACATTTGATTTTTCTCTTTCACTATACTTAAAATAAAAAAAAATAGAGTGTCAAATTTAACATACCATATATCCACATAAATGAAATCATAAATTATCTAAAGAAAATCAATTATGTATCGAATTGCAAACCAATTAGACTTGTGATTCGGCCAAATAGTTGGAGTTTCAAGCCAAAAACCAACCAAAGTAGGTGATATAAGAGATCTTATGCGACTTATGGCGCATTTGGCTGGAGCGTAATAAATTCACTTAGAACGGAAAACTATTTGCCGATTAGTTGTCCATCTGCTTAATGAAAAAGTTTTTAAATAACCAGAGACAGGTGAAAGAGGTCAAAGTTAGATGCAATGTAAGTTACAACCAATTGTAAACCAGCTCTGCAAGGTGGCAAGCTCTAGAAGCTGGCACCTGAAAATATAATATGGATGAGTCAATCTATGACTCTGACTCAAAGGCAAGCTACGAGTCTGTTTTTTGTGACTCAAAAGAGACGATAACAAAGGTTCTATCTAGGAGGATACTATGTTGTCGATCACCGTATCTAGCTAAGCTATTGGGATGTCAAAGTGTATATATCATCAAACATCACCGAACTTGATATATTAGAGATAGACGCCCATAATGTAACAACCACTATCACCTCCCGAGAACTGAATAATCCGAGTTTGAGTTTATCATAAAGGATTGCAAGAAGATCTTAAATCTAAAACCATTTTCCATTAACTGGATCGAAGACAAGAAAACGCAGTGAGACACCGAATTGCTAAGATGTCTGCTCTTACCTTAGTTTTCATGTATGGGAGACCTTATCCCCGCTTATGATATGTAATATCCGAACCCGAAAAACGGTATGGGATAATTTTTTCTTATTAAATTATTTTTTAAAATAATTATTTAATTTATTTTCTTTTTATTTAATTAAGATTTTGAGAAAAAAATGAATTAAAGACAAGATTAAAAATAATTTTGGAAAAAATGGATGAAAATTTGAGTTCGGATGATGCTTTTGAAAGAAAATTCAGAAACAGGGGGTTAAAGTGGAAAAAGAAAAAATTTGACCATTTGGGATGGCTCAATCAGCAACCCCGATGAACAAGAGCACATCACGTGTTAAAACACGCTGACGTCGGCGCCACATGGGAGGCCACGCGGGTGATCCACGTGTCTGGTGATTCGATGACCCAGGTTCGATACCACGCGCGTGAACTGTTCAGATTTGTTCCTTTCTTAGGCGCGATCGGACGGACAAGATCAACCGTGATGAACGATCAAGATTCATTTTCTCTTTAGGTGCGATCAGACGAATGAGATCAATCACGATAAACGGCTCAAATAAACACAGGATGGGTTAAATACCTCGCGTCGCAGGGGAACTCAAACCCTAGCTGCTAGCCCCCGCCGGAGAAGGAGGCAGACCACCGACCGCTGACTGCCGCCGCACCGGAGCCACCGCCAACTGCTAAAAAAGATAAAATTTTCCCTTACCCGCTCGGAATTCATTTTGAGCATCATTGTAGCCAAATCGGAGTAAATGAGACGGTGGGTGAGCCAAAAACTACGGGCAAAGCCAAACGGAGTTGCCGCTGTCAAACTCAAAAATTCCTCCGATGAGCCCTTCCCACTTCTGGTTTCATGCAATTTTTGATTATTTGTTCACAGTCCTTTTTGTG